GGTGGGAGGGGCGTCGGGGCAAAGGCTGTTGGGCGTGTTGGGAGGGGCTTGGCAGCGAGAAGACAGAAGCTCGCGCCAAACCAAAATCTGAGGCCCGAAAGCTTCTTGGGCAGGGAGCAGAGGGGGTTGTGTTGACCCGCAGCGGTGATTGGGATGCTCCAGGCCGGCCGCCTACGTGGCGCAGTAACGGCGCAGCGTTGTTTCCAACACCGCCGCAGTTGCCGCCATCCCCATGCCCCCCGCACCTCCACGCTGTCGTTGGTGGTGGGGTCGCTCCACAGCAGGTCCATGAGCACCGGCCCCCCGTCCTCCATGGTGATCGGTCGCTGCAGGGCGGAGATCTGGTCGATCTGGGGGTTGCGGAGGTTTCATGTTCCAGTACGGGGGCGAGACGGGGTTTGCAGTCGTCAGAGTTTGATTGGGGCTCAGCAGAAGCCTCCCAGCCGGTGATCTCGAGGAGCCTCCACATTGCTAAGCTGCTTCGAGCTGGGTTTCTGTTTGACCAATGGCCCCAACCTCGCCCGGCCGCCGCAGCGGGTGCGCCCGCGACGGCGAGGCGCGCGTGAGCCCTGAGGGCCGCCACCCCACATGGCACCCCGCGCTGCCGCAATTGCTGCGCCCCCCTCCACCACTACCCCCCCCCCCAGCCCGCCCAGCGCACCTGGTCGATGCAGCGCCCTATGCCGCCGTGCATGCACAGGATCTTGCCCTCTATGAGCGCCGCCAGCGGCAGCCAGTTGAACAGCGCGTTGATGCGGCGCCACACCCTGCACAGTTGGCCAGCGGTTGGTGATTGGAGGTCGGCAGTAAGTCACGTGTGGCGACAATGCGTGGACGAGGCGGGAGATTCAGGTTGGCAAGCGGGGCCGAGGGCCGCGGCAAGCGACGCCCGCAGCCGCGGCAGCCGCGGGAGCCCGTTCCCGGGCATCGCAACGCCCTCACAGAGCCCAAGCCGTACATGGGCCCCTCGAGCCCCACCAGATGCTGTCCTTGTCCCCGAGCCGCCCCTGCCCGCACACCCCCGCCCCTGCTTCTCCCCCTTCGCCCCCAGAGGCCCCCCACCAGATGCCGTCCTCGTCCCCGAGCCGCTCCAGGCACTCCAGCCTGAACCCGAAGAGCGCGTTGATGTCTGCCGCCTCGTGGTTGCCGCGGATGAGGTGCACCGACCGCGGGTACTCCACCTTGAGCGCCAGCAGCAGGCAGATGCTGGGGGCAGGGGAGGGGGATTTGTGATGAGGGCAGGGGTCGGTGTCTGGGTGGGCGGAACAGCGATGCGCCATGCAGGTGGGCAGTGGCGAGATGGTGCCGTGTGGCATCCCAGGGGGTGTGGTAATGCTGAGAGGGGGTCGGGTTTTGCAGGACAGGGGGGCAGGGTGCAGCACACACTCACACACACACACACACGCGCACACGCACACACACATCCACACACACACACACAGAGAGAGAGAGAAGAGAAAGCCACGCCACCACCACGCGCGCGGGGTCCTCACGTCTCCAGGCTGTGGCTGCCCCTGTCGACGTAGTCACCCAGGAAGAGGTAGTCGATGTAGGTGATGTCACCCGCGGTGTTGGGGGACCCGTACCTGCCAGGGGGCGGTTATGTACACAAGAAGGGTTGGCAGAGCTGAATTGTCAAGCAAGGAGTGAGAGGAGGCCGCGGTCGGGGCCAGGGAAGGTCGAGAAAAAGCCACTTGGAGGTGTGTCGAGGGGCTTGAGGCGCGGGTCGCCTCACGAGCTTGTGCATTGCAGGCCATGCGCCCGTGCTGACGTCATTCCGTGACACAAAGCGCCCAGGCGCCCGCAAGTCCCAATACCCCCTGCCCCCGGGATGGAAGGCCGCAGGGGTCGAGCTTGCTAGCATGCCAGGCATGGCAAACGGCGAACACATTGGCAAGGCGGTGAGGGCAGCGGTTGGGGGATACGCATACACACTTGCACACACGCACACACATATGAATACACACGCTGACTGCGCATCGCTCACTCCTCAAACAGCCTCATGAGGTCCCCAAACTGGCCATGGAGGTCGCCAAAGATCTTGACGGGCGCGGACAGCTCCTGGGGTATTTAGGAGCAGATGAGATATTTGGGCATGTATGAGATTATTGTATCGGGAGGGACCTGAGGTCGGGGACGGGTGGGTGCAGGCCGGGGTCACGCCCAATGATGGCGGGTGTTACTGCGCAGGTTTCAAAGCAAGGGTCACACATCCTCAGCACCCGGCACACAACACCCAAGCGCCCATGCATAAATACACACAACAAACACACA